GTGAGTGAGTGAGTGAGATGGGGGAAGAGCTGTAGGATATACAAGTATGAAATCTCACCAAGTTCTTATTGCTGCCTCTGGTTTACAGTTTATCTCTTGTTGAGGGGTTAAGTGGCATTTCTCTCCTACCTTAAATCTATTTCCCAAAAGCAACTGGAATGTTCTTTAGAAATGTTAGATGGACCATGTCATTCCCTGCTTAAAACTCTTCCTGTTCCTTCAGCCTTATGCCCACTTCCCTGTACTGGAGGAACACTGGTTCCTTAGATATGATCAACATTTTGTTATCCTGTGACCTAGGCATAAGTCATCCCCTCTGCCTGAGATACTGTCTCTCCCTCCTCCCTAGGCTGGCTCCTGCTCATCCTTTTTGGTCTCATAATTTTTCTTTAAATGGAACCTAGTCAGAGAGGTCTTCTTGCTATGGAGGTGCACTATAGTTCACTCAGTGTTGTCTTCAAAGATCAGTATGTTTCCTATATACCTGTTTCTATTTAATAATCTTTAAGCCATTATCTCATTTCCCTGGGGCATTCCTTTTCATGTGTGTTACATGGCACTCTTGGAATGTTAAACATAGTAAAAGAAATGAATTAACAAAGAAGACAATTTAAAAGCTATCTTAAAGGTCTATTTAGATAAGTCTATAAATAGTCACATTTATACTCTAGGCCAAATGGAAAAACTGAGCACTATCATATAATTAGATATGTCCAAAGGCATGAATTCTAGCCTTAACTTGAAGCAAAATGGTTAACCTCTCTTGATCTTGGGTTTTCTCAATAAGGCAAGAAAAAGAACTCCCGTTTCCTTCTGACATTATGTTTATATTCAAATCAAATAAATGTGAGATAAAGAACCAATGATGAAAATCCACCTTGTAAAAGATATTTTTAAATTTAGAAGGAATCTTACCGATCTGCTTCTGGGAGTTGGTTAATTTTTCTGGTTATGATATTGAAAATTAAGTCTTCCTTGACAGTATCATCTGGTTCATGATTTTCCATCTTGAGCCTTAAAAAAATTTTTAAATTTTAAAATATTTTTCAATATCTCTACAGAAAAACAACAAAAGGGCTTATAAAAAGCTTTCTCAATACCATAAATATTTAATTAAAAAACTAGCTATAGCTTGAATTCATAATCTAAAAAATCAATGCATACACACCATACCAAAAAAATATATTCTAAGTGAAATAGAATTCAGAACATGAAAAGCAACCCATAAAGCTTCTAGGAAATATAGAGTATCTTTATAACCCTTAAAATATTTCTGAATTTGCAAACAGCACTAAACATAAGACCTAAAACTAATATTAAGCCAATATTAACTGATTAAAATTAAGAACTTGTGTTGATCAGTAGTTACTCTAAAGATAAGCCAGTCTGGGAGAAAATGTCTGCAATATAACTGACAGAGGAGCAGTGAGTACCCAGAATATGTAAAGAAGTGCACATCATCAAGAAAAAGGCAAGCAACCCAATAGAAAAACTGGCACAAGGTTTGAACAGGTACTTTCACAAAGAGGGAAACAGCCAATAAACATGAAAATATGTTTAAACCCATTATAATCAGAAAAAAAATTAAAACCACTGTGAGATATCAGTCTGTACCTAGGTTAGATAATTAAAACCTCATAATTTCGATTACTGGCAAAAATGCTGGGTAACTGAAATGCTTATGTGCTGCTCATAGTAGAGTACATTGTACCCACTTTGGGTACAACCACTTTAGAAAATTATTTAGTATTATTTACTAGGTAGAAGAAACATACTCTCAATTTCACTTACAAGTATACCCTAAAGTAGAAATCTGTGAACTCTCAGATGGTAATGTCAGAGTAGGTGGATGGTAAACTGTATTAACCTGAAGATTTAGCTCATTAAACAAGATTTCAGGATAGCACAGTTAAGAAAAGCAAAAGTTCGGAAATAACAGAAAAATACCAGGTTTTATGAAATTAGAGTTTTGTTCATTATCCATTTGCTACGAGATTAATTTACCACACGGATTTACTGCTGGGTACCTGATAGATATAAGACATCATTTGGAACATGTTGAGTGAAATGAAATTTCATATCCCTAGCCTTAAAATTAATAAGTACAATGTAGACTTAGAAACTTACATCTAGTTTCCTGGACTCAAACTTTTTGAGGCTCTTAGTTACAGTACCATGACAGACACCATCTCTGTCCTACAGGAACTTTGAATAATTCTGTTTATGTGTTGGAGGTGCATGTGTGTTGTGTGGAGAGATATATAAATTCAGTATATACAGAGAAAGTGTATGATGTATATGTCTGAAATGAAATAATTTCCTCAGAAAGTCCAGCCTGATGCTGGACAAGTCTTCTATTTTATGCTCTGCATATTGGTGAGGTCCCGAGTTCTGTGAACTAGCCATTTCTAAGATGTGGCTATTAAAGGCCTCCCTTAATTCATAAAAGTTTTGCCACAGCAGCCTCCAGCAGGACTTTATATTTGCGTTACTAACAATAAATCCAGGGGCGCCTGGCTGCTCAATCCGAAGAGTATGAGACTCTTGATTTCAGGGGTCGTGAGTTTGAGTCCCACTCTGGGTGTAAAGATTACTTAAAATATTTTTCTAATGAAATAAAAATATAAAATAATCCAAATCCTAGACAATGCTACCTTTAAATCCTACAAACATTTCAAAAAGCTTTTGCATTAGCTATCTCACGTCCCTCAGGATAGCTCTTAGGCAAGGAGTCAAGTGGGCCTTTGAAAATTAAGTTAGGCCAGGGCAACCGTGGCTGGATATTGGCAGTAAAGCCAAGATTAAATTCAAACGCAAACTTTTATTTATTTTTTCTATTAGCTTAACTTAAATATAAGATCTTTTCTTCTAGGAAGTAAAGAGACGGTAGGTGTCGTCTCCCCCTCCCCCATCTTCCGACCCAGTCCGGGAATCTCATTCCCGCGCCGCAGGTGAGGAGCACGTCACCGTGCTGTACTTCTCTTGGGCATTTACAGCACCCTTTCCCCAGAATGCCATTACCTTAGGCTCTGCTCACAGCAGTCGGTGCCTCCACCGTTTCTCCTCGGCACGCCGGGGTTCACTCCAACCTTTGCTCAAGTAGCCTGAACGCAGCCATCTTTGGCTGACACGTGACTCGGGTCAGGCGGGCGCTGATTGGGCTTCCAGGACAGAGGTGGTCTGCAGTAGTAACTTCCTGCTCAGGGGCTTCCAGCCAAGGGAAGCGGTGAGCCGCTGAGCCGGGAGTGAGGGAGTTGTTTTCGGCGAGCGCGGAGGGTACTTGTTAACAACCTACCCCCGCCTTCCTGGACAGAGCCTGTGGAACTTGTGGAATTTTGACAGAGAGTGACCGTAATCCTCCTTTCACTGAAAACCTACCTTGGAAACATTACTTCAGTTCCTGGCCAATAGAGCCTACCTCATGTGTTGATACGAGGTATTTTGGAAACTGCACAGCCCTTGGCGTACAATAGGTACACTTAAAAGAAGCTGAGATTTCTTTGCTCCCTCGGTTTTTTAATCTCCCTTAAATCTTAAGCTTCCTGTATTACGTTATGATCTGGTTAATTGTTCCACCACAATCTGAGCAAGCAGAGCTGCTTTTTCTGAGGATCTCCGGTTCCCTGCTGAGTACCGTTTATTAAAAAGAGAGTTGGGTGACTGTGGTGAAAGAAACGAGAGAGAGCTAGTGGCTTCATAAGTCAGAACAATTGAGAACCAAAGTTTTGGACCAAGCCCCTGCAAACCTCTCAGTCCTCATCTGCATAGCTTCTTTCCTCATCTATAAAACAGGAGGGGAAGAAAACACCCTCCTTTATTATTTTATAAAGTTGTGAGGGTCCTGATTATCAAGGTTGCTTTGGAAATCACTGAGCTTTACCAAAGAACGTGGTATTCAAAATAAAGGAGGAAAATTTCATTGGCGATGTGAGCAGAAGAGCCCCCAAAACTCCTTTGGCTGAGAGGAATTTATCCAGTGTCAAATCGTGGCTGGTCAATAAACCAGGAAATTAAAACAGGTCCTCAGATTCCGAGTCAAAAAGCCAGCATGTTCCCCACCTGGAAAGTTTCTGAGGTAAAGGCAGAGACAGTTGGAGAAAACCAGCTTAAGATGCGAACTGTAACGTCTGTTCATGCATTCATGCTTACGGGAGTAACTACTTTGTCTCCACTTTATACTTGTTCCAATTTAATTTTTAATGGTTTCAGGCTAATTTTGAAGTCTTGCTTTTTACAGTATCTGCAGCATGCCATTCTGGAGTAATAAAAGCAATTTAGTATATTGAGATTTTATTAAAAAATCATTTCTTCACATGAAGAAATGTCCATTTAATCTAAATTCTCAAATTATTAGCTTAAATTGTTTGCTATATTTTCTTATTAGGCTTTAAGCCTGTAGAATTTGTAGTGAGGTCACAGGTCTCTTGATATCTCTCATTTGTGTCATCTCTTTTTTTGAATGTCTGATCAATCTGGCTAATGGTTTGTTTGATCTTCTCAGGTAACCAGTTGTTGTTTTTTTAAATTTCATTGGGATTTTTTTGGGTTGTTTTTTGTCCTCAATTTGATTGCTTTTTAAATTTTTTTATTTTAATGTTTATTTTTGAGAGGGAGACAGGTTGTGAGCAGGGGAGGGACAGAGAGAGAGGGAGACACAGAATCAGAGATGGACTCCAGGCTCTGAGCTATCAGCCCAGAGTCCAACGTGCATCTTGAACCCATGATTTGTGAGATCATGACCTGAGTCCAAGCCAGACGCCCAATAGACTGAGCCACCCAGGCACCCCAATTTGATTGTTTCTTGCTCTGATCTGTATTATTTTCTTCTTCCTACCTGGGATTTAAGTGGCTCCTCTATTTCTAATTTCTTTTTTTTTAAACTTTATTTATTTATTTTGAGAGAGCACGCAGGAGCAGGAGAGGGACAGAGGAACAGAGAGGCCTAAGCAGGCTCGCAACAGCAGCACAGGGCCTGTCCTGGGGCTCCAACCCACTGATGTGAGATCATTACCTCAACGGAAAACAAGAGTTGGGGGCTCATCTCTAATTTCTCAGGGAAGAAGCTGAGGTCATTTGATGTGAGACCTTTTCTCCCCCAACATGTGTGTTTACTGCTATGAATTTCCCTCCAAGTACTGCTTTACCTGTATCCCACATATTTTGAAATGTTTATCATTATTTTTGAGAGAGAGTGGCAGAGAGACAGAATGTAAGCGGGGAGGAGGAGAGAGAGATGGAGACACAGAATCTGAAGCAGGCTCCAGGCTCTGAGCTGTCAGCACAGAGCCCGATGTGGGGCTCGAACTCAGGAACCATGAGATTATGACCTGAACTGAAGTCGGTTGCTTAACCAAATGAGACACTTAGATGCCCCTGGTTCAAAACACCTTCTAATTTCTCTTTGCTTTTTTCCTTGACCCATGAGTTATTTAGAAGTGTGTTTGTTAGTTTTCTAATAATTCCACTTCTCATGTATCTTTCTGCTAAGATTTTTAATTCAATTCTGTTGTGGTCACAGAATATACTTTGTGTTATTTGGATCCTTTAAAATTAATTGATATTTATAGCCTAGATTCTGGTCCTTGTTGATAAATGTTCCATATATGATTGAAAGAATGTATATGCTGCTGTTGTTGTGCCAAGTGTTTTAAAACATCAGTTATCACAGATTGGTTGATATCATTGTTTAAGACTTTTTATCCTTTCTGAATTGCTACCAACTTGTTCTATCAATTACTGAGAGGCTAATGAAATCTCCAACTATTATGGAAATTTTCCTATTTTCTCATTTTGAAGTTCCACATTATATGAATAAATATTTAGGATAAATTGATCCCTGTGTAACTGTGAAATGACCTTCTTAATTCTTGGTAATATCATTTGCTTTGCAATTTACTTTGTTTAATATTAATATAGCCAATGCAGTAACTTTTTTTGAATTAGTATTAATATAATATAGCTTTCCCCATGCTCTTCCTTTTTAACCTATTTGTGTCTATATTCTTAATGTAGGCTTTATAGGCAGGATATAATTGGATTTTTAAAATCTAAATTGACAATTTCTGACTTTTAATGAAGGGGGTGTTTAGACCATTTGTATTTAATATGATTTTTATATCCCAGGGTTTAAAATCTATCATCTTGAAGTCTGTTTTCTATTTCTTACATCTGTCCTACATCCTCCTTTTCCTTCTGATTTTTGTTTGTTTTGACAAATTGAGTATTTTTAATTCCATTTTATTCATTTACTGGCCTATTACCTACAGTTCTTTTTAAAAATTGCAATGATTACTTTAGCATGTATAGTACTGTATACATCTGTTTTAGTTTCCTCAGGCTACTGTAAGAAAATACCAGGAACTGGGAAGCTTACAACACGAAATTTATTTGCTCACTGTTTTGGAGGGTAGAAGTCTGAAATCAATGTACTGGCAGGGTTGTTTCCTACTGGAGGTGTTGAAGGACAGTTTGTTCCATGCTTCTCTCCTGGCTTCTGGTGTTTTCTGGCAATCCTTGCTGTCTCTTGTCAATGTATTGCTATGTATTCACATGGCATTTCCTTCCCCCTGTGTCTTTGTGCCCTCACAGGGTCATTTCCCCTCTGTGTGTGCCTGTGTACCCAAATTTCTGTAGTCTAATGAGGACACTGATCATTGGTAAGGGCCCACTCTAATCCAATATACCTCATCTTAACTTGATCACATCTCCAAAGACCCTATTTCCGAATAAGGACACATTCACAGGTACTGAGGTTTAGAATTGCGAATATATTTTAAAGTGACACAATTAAACCTTCAACATCTTAAACTTATCACAACCTATCTTTAAGTAATATTATACCATTTTATGTATGATAAAAAAATGTTATAACAGTATACTTTTATTTATTTCTTCTTGGTCTTTTTGTTATTATTATCATTCGTTTACTTCTAAGTACATTATAAACAACACAATACATGATTATTTTTTTTTATTTCAGTGGTCATTTGTCTTTGAAAGCATTTTTTTAATGTTTATTTAATTTTGAGAGAGAGAAAGACAGAGTGCTTGTGTACAAGGTGGGGGTGGGGTGGGGGGGAGGGACAGAGAGGGAGACACAGAATCCAAAGCAGGTTCCAGTCTCTGAACTGTCAGCACAGAACCCAATGCAGGGCTTGAACTCACAAGCCGTGAGATCATGACCTGAACCGAAGTCGGATGTTCAACCAACTGAGCCACCCAGGCACCCCTGAAAGCATTTTTGAAACTAAGAAAATTTACATTTATCCACATAATTTCCATCTGTAGTACTTTTCATTCTTTTTATTTATTTATTTAGCCTTTTAATTTTTCTTATAAAATGTATAAATATTTGAAGATAAAAATTGGGAATTACTATTGGTAATTAGTTGTTCATATAGTAACATTTAATTAATTGGAAGCAAAATATTGCATTTCAAAGTATGTTATTCAAATTATGATAAGCATATCCCTGTCAAATCTGGTACCTATGTGTTTTATTAATTTATTTTTAAAATTTTTATTTAGGTTCTAGTTAGTAAACATGTAGTGTAATATTGGATTCAGGAGTAGAATTTAGTAATTCATCACTTACATATAATACCAAGTGCTCAACACAAGAGCCCTTCTTAATACTCCTTCATTCTGTTTTGTAGATAGATATTCCGTCTGGTATCATTTTCTTTCTACTGTCATTTCTTAGAATGCAAATCTGGCAGTGAATTCTTTCACATTTTTCCAACTCTAAAATGTATTTAGCCTTAGTTTTAAAATTGTGGTAAGAAACACATAACATCAAATTTACTATATTAGCAATTTTAAAATATTTGGTTCAGTATGTTAAGTATATTCAGTGTTATGCAACAGATCCCTGTAACTTTTTCGTCCTGCAACATTGAAAATACCCACTAAATACTAATTACTCCACTCCTCCCAGCCTTTGGTAACCACCTTTCTACTTTCTGTTTCTATGGGTTTAGCTACGTTAGATACTTCATGTGAGTGGAATCATACATTATTTGTTCTTTTGTGACTGGCTTGTTTTATTTAGCAAATGTGCATCCATTTTGTAGTATGTTGCAGCATTTCCTGCTTTTTAAAGAATGCATAATATTCTGGCACACCTGGGTGGCTCAATCAATTAAGCATCTGAC